ATAATAATAATAATAATAATAATAATAAATAATGAATTTAATTTGTACCGTACTTTTCATTAACAAAAATGTCAAAGTGCTACAAAAAAACCAACAACTCTGTTTAAAGTAATTAAAACCAATGATAAAATCATGCAGAGGGATAAGCTTGATTAAAAAGAAGAAGAATTGAAACATTGATAAGGCATTTATTCATTATGTTTTGACTAAATGCAATTTTTGCACGTTTTAATCAAAACACTATATTTGCGTATTTTTCCATATACCACTTTTATTATTATTTATTAGTTATATTAATTTTTTTATTTGCCTATTTTTCCATATACCACTTTTATTATTATTTATTAGTTATATTAATTTTTTTATTTGCCTATTTTTCCATATACCACTTTTAGACTTAATCCTTGTTTCGATGTGACGGGTCACATTTTTACTTTGTATGTTGTGTTGCAGAAACATCATCCAACTCTGTTCTGAAAACCCTTTTTCTTCATCTGAAGCCGTACCAGGAGGACGGAGAACCTCAGGACTTCATCCACTCAGGTTTGACCTCTTACCTTCACCTTGATGCAGCTCTTGATTTGATTGGATTATGGTTCGGGGGACTGCAAGATGATTAGAAACTTTATTTTTGATGAGTGAATCAACAGCTGGCACCTGGTTGGAGGATTTATCTCCTGATTTGGCTCCAGGAGGTGAAAAGGGGAAGAGGAGCGCCGAGGCACCAGGCAGGTCGAAGGTCACCCGTCCAGGTGCGAGCGGGCCTCAGGTGACGGCGCCTCGTCTCGGGCAGCTGGGAGGTAACGCCTCGGAGGTGAACAGAAACATGGTGACGCCTCTCAGAGACCTTTTTAAGACTTTAGACGCCACAGTTTTCCACAAACTCTGAATCCTCCTGCTGCTTCTGGGCTGTGATCTTTACAAACTGAAGGAAGGTTCTGAAGACCTGAAATTAACTGGAAACTCGTTTTCTGTCAACCTTGTTCAACTGTTCAACCTTCAATCTTAATGTGTATACTTTTTGTCCAAATCAAACCTGTTTTATTCACTTCAATAAGATAATCTATATTCTGGGTGTATTTGTACACCTAAGGTTCAGTGCTTCCCAACCTGTACCTTTAATGTATTTATGTAATGGTACAGTTATAGAAATCAGTTTTTGTGTGTAAAACAAACAATAGAAACAACTAAACTTGTTATCTGCAAGAATTAAAATGACAAATCTGCTGCTGATTAAAATCTCTTTAACATAGTTTTTTTTCCTGATAAAATAAATAATGAAAATCTCTTAGTTTTCATTCCATATATCTCATGTTATTTTACTTTTCTTGAATTTGTTTTTCAAAGGATTTAAAATATATTGCAGCTTTTAAATCCTGTCAATAGGTGTCACTTTAACTCAATAAAGTTGTGTAAAGAATTAAAACTCTTTTCATCTGTCAAACAGAAGAGACAAAAATATTTATTATATATTTTATTCACAATTACAGTGTTACAGATTTGTGAGGACTGGAAAGTTTTGTAATAAAACTTCAGCTGGGTGTGATTTTATAAAAACTGTAAATTTTAAAACGGAATATAAAAAATGTGCCAACATGTTCTACAGGAGAAACATTTCAATCTAATCTTATTTCTAACAATAAAATTAAACAAGGAAAAAATATAAACTCTGCAGAGGTTTACATTTTCTGTTCARTGATTTAAAGGAGTCATAAAAAACAACAGTTTCAGAATCACAAACTATTTTTATCTGTTTATTAAATGTGCAAAAATGTTTCGTAAACATTTATTATATGTTTTCAAAACTGCTGCAACGTCACAAACTCATCCATCCCTCCATCCATCCATCCATCCAACCAACCATCCATCCATCCGTCCGTCTATCATCCAACCATCCATCCATCCGTCCATCTATCATCCAACCATCTATCCATCCATCCGTCCATCTACCCATCCATCCACTGATCCATCTCTTTATCTGTCTATCCATCCATGCATCCATCCAACCAACCATGCATCCATCCATTCTTTCAACCCTGCATCCATCCATCCATCCAACCAACCATGCATCCATCCATCCTTTCAACCAGTCATCCATCCAACCATCCATCTGTTCATCCATCCAACCATCCATCTATTCATCCATCCAACCAACCATGCATCCATCCATCCATCTCTTTGTCAATCTATCTAAACATCCATCCATCCATCCATTGATCCATCTCTTTATCTGTCTATCTATCTAAACATCCATCCATCCTACCAATCAACCGTTTATCCTTTCAGAATCTAAAGTCTAATCTGAAGCATGCATTTATCGTAAAACAAATATTTACAAAAAGAATAGGTTTAATCCAGCATTTCTTATGATTATAGATGTTTTCTTTGCATAAAATAAACATGCACATTTTTGTAACAGCTATTCCATATGTATCCTGCAACACGCTCAGCTTGTCAACTAGCATTGTTTTAAAAATCTGTCTGCAAACGTTTTTATTTAATCAACTGAAACATCGCTGATCTTTTTTTCCCACTTTTCTTTTAGTTTAAAAATGCTTTCAAGAAGAAACCAATAACCCTAAGTCGTTTTGTGTATTTGTAATTTAAATATTGTCCAGACCTGCAACAAAGGAGATAATTTTTATTCAATTTGGGATAAATTGCATAAAATTAGAACTTTTTTTTTGTGGACTTAAAATTAGTGGACTCTAATTTAGCAGATGGGTCTGTTAACAGTTGTCAAAGTTAGCAAAAAGCTAATCCAAATGAGAAGCTAGTCATCAGAGGATTAGTGGAACTGGACCCACCACTGGATTTCTGTTTTTTGTTTATTGTTTTTGCAGACATGGTCGCATCTTATAAGCATTTTGTATTGCTAAGATTCTACATATTTAAATCAATGAGTATATTTACAGTAAACATCGTCRGAGACTGAGAACAAATATCATATTGTACTTTGTCAAAACGGCTGAGCCCAACACAAGTACAGCTCTGTTTTTTTGTTATTTTTACAGAGACATGAAGCTCAGTTTTCTGATTTTAAAATTTTTTTAGCTGTAGTTTCTTGAAAAGTAGTTGCCAGAAAGGTTTAAAACGTTTTCAGTTTTTAATTCTACAGTAATTCCTCATTCCTGTTCTCCCAGTCACGTGTTTGGTTTGATTAAAAATCTGCGTCAAATTGTGAAACATTTACACTTAGAGACAAATCTGGGTCTTTTTCTTTGACAGGGCAGGCGTTAGCCTCGCTGTTATCAATAAGCTTTTTGTTTTCTGGAGCCGGGTCGAACTTCTCATCAGTTTCTGACATGGTCGTCGTCTCATTGGTTGGCACGGGGGTCTTTGCGGCGGCTTTTTCGTATTGAATGGAATCACTGTCGGCTTGCTCCTGAAAATACTCTGAGGTTTTTCTCTTGAAGCAGCCCATCTTGTGACAGAATTAGAACAGTCATTAGACCAAACAAATATCATTTGACATAACATAATGGCGGAAATCTCACCTTAAACATGATGACCGTGATTATGATCAGAAGCAACAGTCCCAGTACAGCTCCAGTTAAAATGATCAGCAGCTGGTTCGGCAGGATTATGAGCTCAACCTGAACTTCAGCCTGTTGGCAGAAAGAAATTAATTATGATTTCAATTTGAAAACTTGTTTGTAATTAAGATTTATTGAAGACGAGCATTGGTACCGATTTCTTGGTTGGGTTTTCATCCTTCCACTCCTGTTTGCCGTGCAGAAAATAAGGTTCAAAACAGAAAAAAAGAGAATAGATCAGATCCTTTCAGAGCAGTATTTTACAATAGGCTTTCCTTTGGTCAACCTTAAACCAACCTTATGAGAAGCCAGAACAAAAGTTTTTTTGTCGTAGTCAACTTGTATAAAACTCCTTAATTTGACTTCTTTGCCGTCTCCAGTATAGCGTTTAAAAAACCCAAGATTCTGTAAAGTCAAGCGTATTACTTAAGAAAAATCATGCTTACTACACATTTTATCTTCAGTTGCTAAAATACATACCACTGCATGTTGCTGGATGTCTTTAAAATGTACGTTTCCCTTCAGCCGAAACTCAACATTTGAATAACTCTTCAAAATAAAAGTATTACACTTCACAAGGACACACTTTTTTTCTGCTGAGCAGGACTGCAACAAAGCAACACTTCATGTTATTTAAGCTCAGTTTGAATCTGAAGATTTCAATCGGCTGAACTCACCTCAGATTTCAGGTTGGAACTCTTCGAGCACTGAGTTTTGTTCTTAAAGAATTAGAAGCAGAATGAAAATATTTAAGGTTTGTAGTTAGAAACAGCTGCCATTTAAGTAAGAAAATAAAAAAAATACCTGTGAAACAGAAACTTTATAATCGATCACTTCAAAGTTGTGTTCCAGTTTAGTTGGGAAGAACAGAGACACRTCAACTGGAAAATCCTTAAAACCAATATTGTCCAACTGTAAATAAGCAGAAAACATTTACAGTGTTATAAAATCCATTCACCATCTTCATTTGCTGATTTACAGTCATGTTGTGAAGATAATATAGATTGAAGCAACCAGGAGGGATGCTTGAGCCTCCTCTCAATGAGAAGCAGCAGTTCAACTTCAAGCTCCTCGGATTGTCAAGACTTTCATCTAAAGCTGAGCCTGGCCACCCTGCAGAGGTCATTTCAACCGGTTGTGTCACAAATCTCCCTATACAGTCAAAATCTATACCTCAAAACCAATTGTGAGAGCTGGAATGCAGAAATTGGATCTTGAGCCTATTGACTCAAGTCTTTATTTACCATGACAGTCCAGAACAGTGTTCTTGTTGATGAAGAAAAAAATCCCAATCTGTAGGCCAATATAGTGTAGCTGCATGCATTATTTTGTTCCCATCTTCATGTCATCCATCCCCTTATGGCACAGGCAAAACCTTTTGCTCCCTCTTGGCATACAAAAGTACACTATATTGTCAAAAGTATTTGCTCACCCATCCAAATGACTTGCACCAGTGCACAAAGCAAGGTCAATAAAGACATTGGTAGAGTCTGGTGTGGATGAACTTAACTGGCCTGCATAGAGTCCTGACCTCAACCTGAAAGAACACCTTTGGGATGAATTAAATTAGAGACTGAGAGCCAGGCCTTCTGTCCAACATCAGTATGTGACCTCACAAATGTGCTTCTGGAAGAATGGTCAAAAATCCCCATAAACACTCCTAAACCTTGTGGACAGCCTTCCTAGAAGAGTTGAAGCTGTTCTAGCTGCAAARGTGGACCAATGTCATATTGAACCCTTATGGATTAGGAATGGGATGCCACTTAAGCTCATATGTGAGTCAAGGCAGGTAAGCGAATACTTTTGGCAACATAGTGTATCTCAACTTTGTGCCAAGGATGTAGCCATAGCTTTTGCTTTGGTTACACAAGGACCAGGTAGCTATTAAGAGTGACCCCAATGCCCTGTACTCCCACAGCACCATCCCAAGCAACACCCACCAAAATCTCTGGGCGTACTGCAAAAGATACTTAGATGAAAAGCAAAGCTTTTCCAAGAATTAAATAAGTCTAGTTGACCTTTTATATACTAGCTAGGGTTACCATTCCATGGACTGAGAAACACCACCAGTATACTTGGTATTTGTAAGACTTTTCCTAGTTCATTAGTTGGACTGGACCACAAAACTCCAATCATCCCYTCAACAACTTTGCAACTCTGGTCTGCTGTTCTACAACCCAAACAAAAACCACATGGCTCCTCCTGGTTCAGAGGTTCGGACATCAGGCTCAGCCTCTAGCATAACTGAGGACTTGTGAGTACCACGTGAGTATCCTCTTTGGGCAGCTTTGAAGTAGAGGAGCATCCAACCCCTGTTCCAAGTTTTAGAGCCAACAATTTTCGGGGGTTAGCCCAACTATGTTTACTTTGTATCGCTAAACATAAACATAAAGATCCTTTTGGACATCACAGATCCTAGGAGCCAGCTAGYTTCTTAATTCTTAGCCCATCCGAGTCCCAAGAACCAAGGTTAACCATGAGGTGAAGATGCATTGTCCAGTAWATCAATGCATCTTCATCTCATGGTTAACCTTGGTGTGAAGATGCATTGTCCAGTATATCAATGAAGTATTTCACTCCTGAGATCAGTGCACCATGAGAAACTTTATCATAGCTGATCATGGGTGGAAGGAACACATAACATCATCTCATTATGTGAAGATTCCATTTACTGTATGTGTAAAATAAACACATTTGCTTTCCTGCTTTGCATTGACTGTAGACTCACTTTATAAACAATTTCCATATTTTTAGATGCAGGATCCTCTGTCGTGAAGTTTAAATAGGAAACGGTGTCTTCATTTCTAGTAAGAATATGAGGAAGTTGGAGAGATAAACAGATTATTATTGGGTTAAATATGGCAGATRTGCATTTCAAAATACTATTGCGTGAGTAATTGTACTTGCATTGTTAGGGCCATTGCGATCTGATATTGTACTAGGATACTTTTGTTCACTGAAACCATCTTGGAGTTGTCACTGAGGATGCAAAATACATCGTCAGCATTACTTTTTTGGCAGTACATCATTTTTTTTCTTTCTTCTGATTGTTAAAAAAACAAAACTTCCRGGTACCTGTTTCCAGTTACAGTCATCAGCAGGGTGTCATTCCACGGAAAATCCTTTGAGACGTGGAAAGCAGTGTGGAACGTTGCCTTCAAGACSAAAAAACAAAGACATGAGCTCCAACTCAAGCAGAAAATGGTTAAACAGTATTCAGAGCAGCTCTCAGTTCTTGACTTGTGAAACCTCTTTCTGTCTGTCAGGATGTGTGGTTTGACTCACAGAGGATCTGCTGCGGTACACTGGAAGGCTGATGCCGCACACGGTTTTGTCATCAACTCCATCCAGGTCCCTACAGTGGAACAGGGCTGACCTGGTGGACTGRTGGGACAACATAGAACCTGTTACAGTGCTGTAAAGATCCAGGTTTAAATGTAGAACTACATAATAAAATAAATGTTTCAGCTTTTTAGAATGTTTTGTGTTATAGTTTAGTGCTGTTGTGTAAACTTTGTAAATTGTKTTTACAAAGACACACAAACACATAATCACCACCATCTTAATTAACTGGTTGGATTCATCAGGTTTCATGGATAAATATAAGTGAGTATCATCAGCATAACAATGGMAATTTATCCCATGCTGATTAATAACTTTACATAAAGGAAACATATACAAARTAAAGAGGTTTGGTCCAAGCACTGAACCCTGAGGAACTCCATGACTAATTCTGGTGTAAGAAGAAGATTCATTATTAACATTAACAAACTGAAATCTATCAGTTAAATAGGACTCAAACCATTTTAGAGCTGTTCCTGTAATCCCAATATCAAGTTCAAGTCTACGTAATAAAATATTGTGATCAATTGTATCAAATGCAGCACTGAGATCTAATAGGGCAAGAATGGACACAAGTCCACTGTCTGACAGGACAAGAATGGACACAAGTCCACTGTCTGACAGGACAAGAATGGACACAAGTCCACTGTCTGACAGGACAAGAATGGACACAAGTCCACTGTCTGACAGGACCAGAATGGGCACAAGTCCACTGTCTGACAGGACCAGAATGGGCACAAGTCCACTGTCTGACAGGACCAGAATGGACACAAGTCTAC